TCCACCATTCAATTTGTGACAAACTCTTAATGTGATCCTTCGTTTTCTAATTTCAATTTGATTTAATATCTAATAAATTTTTATAGCCCCAATGTGAAACTTGACAAAACTTGAATTTGCCGCCTTTGATATAACGAGGTCAAATTACTTGCCATGGATAGTTGATGCTGAAATCCGTTTGGCTGCAAATAATCTTGGTAAAACAATTGTTGAAGGAAATCAAGCATCCTTACAAGATCGCGCTAAAGTGTTGATATTCCTTCTCCACTATCTCTAGGAGAGATTGAAGGCTGAATATTTAACAATTAAAGATCCATTTGACTTATGGTAGAATTTGAAAGAAATATATGATCACCAAAAAACAATGATACAACCAAAAGCTCGTTACGAATGGATGCATTTGCAATTGCAAGATTTTAAATCTGTTAATGAGGACAACTCTACATTATTTCACATTTCATCTCAATTAAAATTATGTGAAGAATTACTAACGAAGACATGTTGGAGAAAACATTCTCCACTTTTCATGCCTCAAATTTACTTCTTTAGCAGCAATATTGAGAGCATGACTTTAAAAAATATTCAAATTTAATATCATGTCTTCTTGTTGTTGAACAAAATAATGAAATTTTTATCAAAAATCATCAATCACTACCTATTAGTTCAAGGCAAATGCAACCTCATATACTAATAATGGGCGTAGTTGTGGTCGTAATTGTGGCAATAATTGTGACCAAGGGCATGCACGTGGTCAAAATAATATTTGGCATCGTAGTGGTTTTAACCCCAAATATGAATTTGTTGAACAAAAGAATGTAAGGGGTGAAAATTTACAAAAGAACTTTTCAAAAGATTCTGAGAGTTTTTGTTATCGATGTAGAGTGAAAGGACATTGGGAGCATGCCTGTCACACTGTTAGGCATTTGGTTGATCTTTATCAAGCCTCACTTAATGAAAAGGGAAAGGGAAAGGAAAAGGAAAAGGGAAAGGGAAAGGGAAAGGGAAAAGATCTAGAAATAAATTTCATTAAGCATAACAATATGGATCTTGATACACACCTCAATGTTGTAGATTTTCTTTGAAGGTGTTAAAAAGTTTAATGGTGTTGGTGATACCCAACCAAGAGTTTGACTTATAATGCCCTCTTAAATAATTTGCCCTTAGTGGCTATTTCCCTTTTTCTATATGTAATGTCCTTTTTATATTCAATAAAAGAATAAATCATTTTCAGAATACATATATATATATATATATTGAATATTTATCTCTTCTATTTCATTTATCTTTATTTAAGACCAATGGACTTGGATGATGCTAAGATCAATGGTGGAGACCTGTGTCTTATTGATAGTGGTACAACACATACCATGTTGAGAAATAAGAATTATTTTTCTTAATTAAAGTTAGCTAAGACTAATGTTCATACAATATCTAGTATGACAAAGTTGACTGAAAAGCTTGCATTTTATTGCTTGGAAGAACACAATTATTAATACACAATAGTATATATTATAGTAGATCAAATTAAAATCCATTAAGTTTTAAGAATATACGTCATAATGGTTTTTATATTTTTTTTTTGATAGAGAAATAAATTTTTATTGCTTAAGAAACCAAATTAGTAACAATTGCTGAGGGTAAAGTGCCTACCCAAACCCCTTCCCAAGGTGGTAATGGGGAATGCATATGTGCTATTCTATGGGCAGTCTCATTCAAGGCTCTATGAGCAAATGTAAAAGAGCAGGAATCGAATGATTTGGTGCGTTCTCGTATCTCTTCAACTACGGCCCCGTAGACGAGGAAGCACTCCTCCGACGAAGCTACCGCTTGTACT